GCTCGTCCTAGGTCCTAGAGGTAGCCTCGACGCGTCAATGCTCGCTTGAAGTGCCTCATCACGCGGTACTGCAGGCTGATCACGTGCGGATTAGCTCCGGCCGCTTGCTGACTGATACGTTCCGTCCGGCCGTCGATTTACGTCCGCTGACTCGGTCGCTTTGACGGAAACGAAGGGGAGTGATGACTGGGGAGTGGTAATACCAATGACTCACTGCGACGCGGGCCTCCGCCGTTCCCGGAGATAATTAGTCACAAAGATATTCTTCCGGGTGACTTCGGAGCGTCTGGCAGCGGAGCTAAATCATTTCGGTGATCTGCGCCTGCCTTGAGGACGTTAGAAGGTCCGGAATTAAATCCAGAACCCTTCGTCGGTTACTTGTCGCGTAAGAGGTTCGACAGGTGGTGTCGAATAAACTTTGGAGGGGGTGTATGGTGTGTCAAATTCGCAATTTCGGGGGTCAGAAGATCGCTGGGGCTTATCAACGCCTCAAGGATGCTAGGAAGTCCGGAGCTAAATAGAGCAATTCTTTAGAGCCCATGGAAGCCTAGAGGTGCGTGAGCGCTGTGTCGGATAAGCTCCGGAGGGCTTGTACGATGTGCTGAGTCCGTGTTTTCGGAGGTCAGACGATCCTGAGGCTTATCACCGGACTGTTTGCCGTGCCTTGCACGAGGAAGGACTTCATGCTAGGGTTCGTAGGAAGGTCCCCTTCCTGAATGCCAAGCATCGGGCTGCCAGGTGGGCTTGGGCGCATTGTGTTGCAGGTTGGAGTGTGGGGGTTTGGAAACGGGTCATTTTCTCGGATGAGTCCAAATTCAATTTATTCACTTCGGATGGGCGGGATTATTGTTGGAGGAGGCCAGGAAATGCAAACCAGGAGTGGTATACCCAGAAGACCTGGAAGCATGGTGGTGGGCATGTGATGGTGTGGGGATGCATGACGTGGAAGGGTGTTGGGCATCTTGTCTGTATCAAGGGAACCATGACGGCAACAGAGTCTGTCCAGATTCTTCAAGGACAGCTTCTAGGGACCATGTCGGACTATAGGATGAACCCCCGGCATTTTATCTTCCAGCAGGACAATGATCTGAAGCACTGCTCACGCCTTGCCCGAACCTGGTTCAAAAATAATCCTGTCCGTGTTCTCCCCTGGCCAGCTCAAAGTCCTGACATGAACATCATTGAGCATCTATGGGACCACCTCAAGTGGAAAGTACAGGCCCGAGACCCAGCTCCCAAGAACCTAGATGAGCTTTGGGCTGCGATTGTGGAGGAGTGGTATCGGATTGATGTTGCCACGGTACACCGCCTATACTCGAGCTCACCCCGGAGGGCCCTGGCTCTGAAGAAGGCTAAGGGTGCTAATACAAAGTACTAAATCAGGTCAGTCATTCAGGCCGAGAATTAGTTTTTATAAATTTATTGATTCCATCTAACCAGTTCTGAGGGTACCAGGTTCGAGATGAATTTACCTCCTGGAAGCAAGGAGTGGGGCATCCAGGGCTGAAAGTCTGTATGCATTTATCTTACATAGAGTAGTTACAAATCATGAATAAACATCGATCCATGTTGCCCCCGATCTGCCCAGAACTGTGAAAGTGGTGGCAGTGCAGATACTTTTGTCCGCCACTGTATTTGGCACTTTGGACTCCTATTCAACACAGCCGGTGAGTTCTTAACTTACACATAAAATCATAATATATTGGCGGGACCCGGATTCCACATATTAGTGCTATAAATAGGTGATTGGTATATATAGACCATCCCAGAACGCAGCTTGGCAGCTCATAGAAAATCAAAAGTGATGCACTGCTTGGAATCTCTTGGTGTCTTAAGTAAACCTGTAGATATATATGGGGTGAGTATCATCCCATAAAATCAGTGTAGCTGTGAATTTTTCTGTATTGTTCCGCATTTCTTTCGATTTTCTATGAGCTGCCAAGCTGCGTTCTGGGATGGTCTATATATACCAATCACCTATTTATAGCACTAATATGTGGAATCCGGGTCCTGCCAATACATTCTGATTTTCTCCGAATTGTTGCGCATTTTTGGAGCCACCCAGGTGCCTGGATGATCAGCCAGCCTATTATTAGCCCCCTAGGCTATTCTCGAGGCACCAGATCTAGCCCAGATCCCTGCCTGCCTGCCTGCCTGGATGCCGGGGCAGGCCATTCAAGCTCAGCCCGGCTCATGGCAGGCAGCCTGCTGCCTGAAATCCCATTACATTAGGCCTGGACAATTGTCCCGAAACATTGTAAAGGAGCACACGAGTGTTGTCCAGGTTTAATGTAATACTACTACAGCATCAGGTGGTGGGTGTGCAGGGTGTACATGATACAGGGCGTAACCTGGCAGAGGGTTGACATACCTGGCCCAGAAGGACAGTCTAAGAAAATGGGTGCTCAGACTCCAGATCCTGCTGAGGTAGCTGCACTGCACGAATATCAATGGGCCAGCCTCAGCACCCACTGTTGAATTTTCGGGACTCGGGTTTGAGCTTGCGAGCTCATGCCGCGTTGCACGTGGTCGGGGGTCCACCGCAGGCGGCCCCGACTGATAAAGTGATAAGGGGATATTATATCTTTGTTGTATTTACTTGTCATATGCTACACGATTGATATTGCCCTTGTGACAACCAACTGCTCATGGTCAAATACGCTTGTGTTCTGCTTGCTAAGAATATTTCAACACCCACAGGACAAATTAGAAGTCCTAAGCCCTACACCCACTGCATCAGGTGATATGCAAGTGAATCTGCACGGGCTGCGCGGCTTAGCACCATGCATTGAACGGACGTGATGCGCACGACAACCGCGTTGGCATCGACGGCCACTGCACTGCAATCTAACCGGCATGCTATTTTTGGCTGATCACAAGGTGTCATGCCTGGGGATTCGGCAAATGGGGTTGCCAAACTAAAAGTTAATAACTATGTGTATGGGGGGTTGCCAAATAGAATAATCCCACTCAGGCATGCATTCTGTGGCCTGCAGCTGCATCTTGTACTTTGTAAAGTGATACAGAGGTTGCCCAAAGCATCAACAAGCTCAAAAAATATGCTGGAAAAGTGATCCGGTGATGTGGTCAGGAGAGTCGTCAGACTCTGCACAGCCACTTATGGACCCTATGGCCGGACATATGGTAACTGGCACGTCGATGAAGTGGAATGCACTTTGGGAAAATAGACCTGGTGCACCTCGGCAACCATAACTTGGCAGCTGTACCATTCATGTGTCACATGTCACAGTGTACCAATAATGTATGTACACCTAAGATAAGGCCCAAGAGACACAAACTGCTTTGAGATGGAGCTAGGTGTGAAGCATATGCATAGAAGTTATATGAAAACCCCTTCATAATATATTTCAAGCATCCCTTGCAAGGTCAGTGGCAGTATTGGCCCACCCATCTGGGTCCTCTAGACTGACTGGTATGGTACGTCCTGGCCCCTGATTAGTTGAAGAGCTGTCAGTGCATGCCACATGATATGCATCCATGTGACTAACTTTGGTACCTTTCCAGACCACAGCTGCCTGTGGGCGGGAGGAGACAAATGTAACTTCCACCACAAAGTCTAGCCTGTAATATGAAGCATTCCCAATATTCATGAGGTCAAGCTTGCCATTCAACTCTGAGAGATCCATCTGTATTACACAGATTTTCTTAAATCCAGGGAGCAAAGAAATCTCTATCAAGCGACACATATTAATATCAATCTGATAGGATCAGGATGACAGCCAAACAAACCATCTTTATCATACACAAATTCTTGAGCTTTGTTGTGTTCAGCAGCATAAATATTGATGCTCATGTTTGAGAGATCAGGAGGAATTGATGTCTGTGGCCACCACCAGTAATAATCCATTCTACGTGGCTCCCCCTCTTGTAGGACCATTCCCTGGAGTCATGATAATCTGGCAGCAATCACAGGAGGATAGAACAGTTACATACATAGGGGACTACCTCACTCCAAGCACCAGTCACAAAGTTTCCATCTGCACGCTTGGCTGAGATTCTCCTCCCAGCATGTGCTGGAGATAGTGGATTGTGCTTGATCTGAATAGTTATCCCATATGAATAGGGAGATGCCCGTGCTTGAACAGTCTTCTCCAGATAGCACTGCACTGCACCAGCGGCACTCTTTGTGCTTTTGAAAGGGTTATAAGAACACATAATATCTTGATGACATCCCTGACTCACATGCTGTCACTGCAAGGCAAGACCTCATAATTCAGACCATGTGAAAACATGGCTTTCAGTTCAGCTGCATGGCCAGGGGACAGGCCACCACCAAGAATAAGATACTGCATAGTGTGAGCATATATCAAGGAGTGTGGGACAGTCCTGGAATACCTTTGGCTGCCGTTGCCCAATCATACCCTTGATTGCCTGAACAATCTTAGAGAACTGTTCATCACTGCCAAGACATGAGCTGGATGGAATGAGGGAATGAGTCAACTGTGACTCACAGAGCCTTGTTCAATGCTGCATCTTTGGCCTCGGAGGGGTCATCAGGAGAGACAGAGTCATCAGCAAAAGATCCCAGGTCATTGTCATCTGCAACATAATTCCCTTCATCTGTCTGCTCTTCAGCCAAGGCTAGACCTGCTTCAATACCTGAGTCAAGTGAGTGATAGCCTCACATGTAGGGGCTGACCAACTCACTGATGGATGGATGGTCCTTCACTTCTTGCACTTGCAGAGGATTCTCACTCAGGACAGTGTAGAGGGCAAGATCTGTTGTAGCAGCTCCCACATCACAGACCATGAAGTCTTCACCTTTCTGCAGCAACATGGTATTAGCGCATAAGGAGCATAACAGATCAAACTCACCTTAGGCTTGAACTGCTTCAAACCCTTGGCGGAATAAAGGGCAACCTCTGACTCCACAACGAACCTAGCATTGGTACCAACACTGATAAAAGATGCATCCACCAGTGCCCCTCTCAAGGTAGCCTGTTCAGGGATCCCCCATCCATTCGGAATGACAAGAACCACAATCCTCTCGGACCAGACAGTCACCCAGTCCCGTCCTACAGATCGGCTATATCTCTGCTCAATCTGGGGTTTGGCCTGCTGCATCAGAAACCTGAGCCAATCAGTATAGACATCTCTCAAGGTGATCCCAGCATCGGACTCCTGGAGTGCCTGGTCGAATGCCGAGCCAGCCGCCACCGAGACATTGTTGGTACCGAGACGGTGGACAGCTCTCTTGAACTCACGGACAAGCCGCCGCGAGTCGTACCCAGCAGCGTGCTTCTCGTCCTCTGCGTCGTATCCGTACTTGATGCGGTTATCCTCGCCGTAGTACATCAACGACGGCACGGTCGTACCGCCTTGATTTTGAGCGGTCGCGGTTATCCCCGGCCAACGCTTCACGTGTTGTATCGGGCCACTAGGAGTACCGTTGCGAGTTAAAAGGTACGATACGGCCTGGAGAGATGCATATGGACATTAGTACAATACGAGGAGTCTGAAGGCCTGGCGGGCGTACCGACAGGCGCGTGCCGATGTCTATACCGATGATCAGTTTGCCAGACGCGTCGGTCGCGGATGGAGTCATGGCGGAAGTGCTGGGTGGTGTATCTGAGAGTCGCTGACTTGGGAGACATCCAGTCGAATGGGCGTAGATATGTAAGTTTCCAGTATGCGGTGGAGTTCAGACGGGATTCCGAGAATCGCCGTCCCTGCGTAAGGAGCAAGGCGCTGCTGTGGAAGAGGTCTGGCTGAGCAATGAATATGTTTAAGCTTCAATCTACGGCAGCGGTCCTCTGTGGGAACGCGAATGCACTGGTCTCGTCGCGCGACGTCTCCCGTACAAAGTTCGTGTTAGCAGGATCGATGCCTTGTGATTGGCCCACAGCCCTCGGCAGCGCCCGGAAAGCCTGGATGCTCGGGCGCTTCATGTCAACCCTCGCTCTACGCTTTGATAGAACAACAGAAATCAATCTGCAGAACGACGTCCACACCCATGCTAGCGACGTAGTTCAAGTCCGCGGCACTGTCATCCGCAGCCGTTGGTGTAATCAGGCGCCTTGCGCTATTCTTTCTTGCACGGAGCTCATCGTCCCCCGACCTTGTAAGCCGCCTTCCCTTTCCCACTCTACCTCTGCATGCTGAACCTTGGGAAAGCGTCTTGGCTGATGCTACGTCCTCCGTGCTCGGCTTGCGCAGAACTCGCGGCACAATTGAATACCACTGGACAGCCGAGGGTGGTGATTATCGAGCACTCACTTCCATTAATCTCCTGACTGTCAGGACCCCTGATTGCTCGCCGCATTATGCGCGAGACAATACTTCCTCCTAATAGTGACTGGGTGACATTTTCCTTCAGCCTGAGGGCCCGCGTACCCAGGATATAAAGTGCCATCCAGCGTAGCCTGCATTCTGTCAACAAGCCACCCAGACCTGAAAACCCTACAGCCAAGTTCTCTATAGTCATCATGCCCCGCATCGAAGGTGGACAGTACATGATCAAGAATGCCGGTCCCGGCGGCCAGTATATCACCCTGCACACGCTCGACGACGTCCTGCGCGGCGCGCTGCGGACCGGGGCCACGAACCAGAAGGTGCGCGCGCCGACGCGGACGTGCCTCCGCTACTCACTCTCGTGTCCTGCAGTGGATCGTCAACGATCTCGGCAACCAGACGTTCTACATCACCAACCGCGGGTTCGACAAGGAGCCCGGCGCGTACGCGCGCCCCGCGCGCGGGAACGCCGTCACCGCTGCCTCCGACAGGCAGGCCTGGCAGATCACCGAGCTCAACCCGGGTATCTACAGGTCCGTCTTTGTCTTTGTCGTTGCCGTTCCGGCCACCCGTTCTCGAGCGCTGATCGTCCGCGTATTCCAGGATCTCCACCGCTAACCTCGCGTGGAGCTTGGAGTCGGACGTGAGTATTGTGCACTCGCCTACTCTCCCCTGCGTACGGCTCAACTGGTTTATATTTTCAGGGCGTGAAGCTCGCCCCCTTCGACACTGCTGACGACCGTCAGAGCTTCAAGTTCGAGTCTGTTGCTTGAGTTAGCACACGCGCAGGTCTTCAATATGCGGCCCTACCGCTTGTACCTTGCAGAAGTTCTCCTGCGCGTGCCGATTGTATATTAAGCAGCCAGACATGTGATATCAGTATCCGAGTGCTCCTCTTCTCCACCATGTAGCATGATCTGCTTCCGAAAGGACCCTCGTCTCATCCTTCAACAGCTGTCGTAAGCCCGACATCCGACGGTTTCTGTCGACTATGCCAGGTACATATTGACACCCGTTCCCATCACGTCAACTGCGTTTCTAGCCGAGGAATATGTAGTCGCAAGCAAGCTAATCAGATCTGTTGCGTGCTTTCGTACTTTCCAGATAAATGCAGGAGGCCCCGTCCTTCATAGATCTCCTGAACGACGCTTCTTTTGCATGATGGACTGCGCGACGGACTTGGAGCGGGTCCAGCATTGGCTCGTAACCCTCTACTGGCTGTGGTGATTTTGCGTAGTAACTTGCACAAGTCCGACTAACACAACTTCACGATACACCACGAGTGCGACGCAGCATCACAGGCCTGGCCAAGAAGCTACTGAATAGATAGTGATAAAATACAAACTCCCTCCGCAGAATCCTGTGGAGCACAAGCAGAGAGAGCACGCATGCAAAAGCCAGCCGAGTCAAGCAATGACGCAGCCCTTGACATCGAGGCCCAGCTCCTCCAGCTCCTCCTGCGACGCTTCCCGCTCATTCTGCAGGAGCTTGGCTTTAGACTCAACGGGAAACCAATCCTTCATGAAGTTAAGCAGCGCCCAATCAACGTTCGCTGTCGGTAATATGAGACCACCGGGTGCCATGAACATATGCTGTGGCTTACATCGATCCGCCACCAATACTGTCGGCGCGCGACATATTGGACAGTTGGCTTTCCCCCGCTTCTGCATCTTGACAAGACACCTATACAAGATCCACCGCTCAGAGACCCTTACCACCACGGCGAGGAAGATCCAGACATACCTAACACAAAACAAGTGACTACACCGCAGCCTAATAGGCTTGAATGCAATGCCCGTGCATATCAGACACGCGTAGTCGTCCACATGGGGAACGATGGGCAGGAGGGTCTCCCCTATGGCTTGCACGAGCACCCGCGGTAACGAAGACGCAGAGCCGTACAGGAAGTCGGACTGGCTGATATGCGGGTGCGCTGGAGACCCGAGAGGAGATGGTGCAAGCACCACGGGGCCGGACTCCGGGGCCAATGAGGATAGTGGGAGCAGCGGCAAGGCAGTGCGCTTCGCGTGCTTCTTCAGGATCTTGCGGGTCGCTTCTGCATTGGCGTATTGCAGCTAGGAACAATACAATTCAGGACCGAGCGAGGGAAAGGGAAATGCCCGATCTCCCCACCTTCTTGAGATCGAGAAGGAGCTGGTTCAGCTGCATGAACATCCGAAATGCCTCCCGGCTCTCCTTCAGCCGCCACTTCTTCTTATCCTGAAATCCTCCTTCCTTGATCCTCTCCACGAACTTTCGCAACCGTTCCTCCGCATCCTCAATCGTCCGCTCGCCCCTCGAGCGCTCGCTCGTGCTCTCGAATATCTCCGCCTCGACGTATATCTGGAAGAACTCGCGCCACGCGTACAGGTCCGACTTGAAACCCCCGACCTTCTTGAACGCATGCGTGATGGACGGGACATGCACGGCGGTCGGATCGGATGTTTGTGAGTGCGCGTGGAAGGCGTTCGTCGAGGAGAAGGGGCGCGCGGATGCGGTGATGCTGCGCGCCAGGTCCTGGAGAGAGGAGAGGAATTGGGATTCGAGGGCTTGCAGGTGCACGGAAAAGGAATGCAGAGCGGTGAGGAGGAGGTCGAAGAATATTCGGTCTGCATTCAGTGGGATCACGACCTCGCGGCTAGTCGCACAACTGCGTGAATGTTGTGCCTACTTAGGGGCGAGCGATGCACGCACCTAGGACTGGTCTTCGCGGCTGCCGACGTACTTGGCCCACTTTCTGGGATGCCCATTTGATCTTCGTCCTCTTCCACCGTCTCGATCTTCGATTCCGAGACCGCCCCCCCATCCGCCGCCACAACCTCAAGGACATCAGAGGTCAGGCTTGGGTCGCTATCTCGATTCAACTCTTTGTCGTAGATGAGAAGACTCTCCGCAGTCTCCCTGTCCGTATCCGCTATCCAGAGACGCAAACGCGGCTGGAGGCTGTCGCTCATTGTGACAATCTCGTAGACGCATTTCGTCGTGCGACCGGCTTCGGACGTCTTCGTTTCGAAAACCTGTTCAGTAGTCCCATCGTTGCCATGACTGCCATTATCTTTCGCCTTGCCCTTTCCATTGTTGGGCTGCAACAACTCGTTGAGGTGAGAGGGACTCAAGCCTAATGAAGTGAGCTCCTGAGTGATTTGTTTGATGACTTTCTTAAGCTATACTGCATGGATCAGCTACAGCCCAAAGCACAAGACCGATACGCACTTGCCGGTACTGGATTGCATTTTCTCTAAGCTCAGGAGGGAGAGAGAGTAATAGTTCTGTGTATGTCTTAGAGAAGTGCATCCGGTCGCAGTTTTCGCACGCATATACGCCCCGCTCCCTTTTTTATATCCTGGACCCACAACAACTCAAAACCTAACACTGACAGGTATGACGAATGCAAGGGAGAAATGGGAGTTCAGGTAGAATATGCATTATTCTATGGAAGAACAACAAATACAAGACAATTAGAATAATTACTGAGACTTCTTCTCAGCCTCGCCGTTCGCAGCAGTCTGGAGCTTGAGGAGCTCCTCCTCCTGGCGTCTCTTGGCTCTCCGTTCCCAACCACGAGTGATCATCTTTTTGGGCTCAAGGTCAGCGAACAAAGACCTGCAAACAACTTCCAGTAACCACGACCCAATGAAGTCAATGATGATTGCAGCCGTCAGGCGCACTTTGAACTGCGATTGACAAACCAATATTAGCGAGGAGCGATCAGAGAACGCGAGAGACATACAGGTCCATTCATTTCGACAATCTGAAGCCAGCGGTTGAGTTCCGGCACCAAGTCTGTTGCACCGGACAGAGCGACTCCTCCAGCACCCATCAGACCCCAGTACAGGGCAGGATTCTCCGTGATACCCTCGCGGAACGGTCGGCCCTGGTAGTTGATGGCAAAGGTAGAAACTTGCTGTGCAAGACTAAGAAGGTAGATCGCGGTGTTCAAGAGACTCGGCTCGAATTTCGCGTCCAGATCAATTTCTCCACGTCTGCGACGGATTGATTAGTACCTATTGCTGAGCGTGGCATGCCTCGTGGGACTTACGGTTCGTGTTGGTACGATAGTTGCGTAATGTATACCATCGACCCTATGTGGAGCGCGAACTGCAACAGGACGGACGACAGAACATAAAAGTTGAAGATATTGCCCAAAGGCCTTTGTCTAGAGAGCTTCTCCACGGGCTGTACGGATTTGCAAGATTACCAGCAGGCCTTACACGGAGATAGGGCAAACGTACCTTGGCTCGGGATATGCATAGGAAGCACACCGACATCAGCATGCCAGTGATAGTAACTTGGTAGTCTCCAAACTTAATGCCATCTAGGTACTGCACACTCAGACTGTACGCAGTAATCAGACAGTTGAGCGCAAGGATCTTGTACATCTGGATGGTCGCAACGAGTGTACAACGCCCCTGCCGGATGATATGGGTGACTACATGGATGTCAGTGAGGATACTGCAGGACCACGAAAGGAGCACATACTAGCAGACACGTTGGACAACTTGGAAGTAAACGGCGCAGCGCAGGAGGCGTCACCCAGCTTAATCTTCGGCACGTCCTCCTCGCCTTCCATATCCGCCAATTTGTCCGTGATCGAACCCAAGTCAAACTGAAGCAGCTTATTCAGAACGTAGACCCAAGCGCACGACAGAGGTGCTACGGACCTTCTCCATAGGATTCTTCTTCCTCGCATTCTGTAAATCTGCAGCTGCCTTCTTCTGTGCCTCCACCACATCAGGATACAAGTGCGCGATAGCGGGAGGGACCGGCGGCGGCGGCTGATTGAACCTCGCAGAGATCTTTAGCTGACTCTCGTACACCTTTTTTATCCGTTCATTGCGCTGGTGCTCAGCAATCTTCTTGAGGTCCTCGGGCGTTCCATCCAGGAGCGCCACGCCGACGTGCGCCTGCTTCAAGGCACCCACGTCGTTCGTACCGTCGCCCGCCATGAGGGTGGTGAAACCGAGCAACTTCAGCCTCGTTAGGATGAGCTCCTTTTGTGCGGGCGTCACACGCGCGTAGACCCATGTATTATGGACGAGGTCGTTCAGGGTTGGACGATTCTCGTATTGCTTGAGCGCAGGCCCGGTGACGCAGATGTCGTATTCCTCGAACAGTGCAGGGTCGAAAGGCTCCTCTGGGTTGACCGGAATGATCTTCGTCTCGGTCACATTTCTCCAGATCAAGTCTACGGGCGATAGGTCATCGATACCACACTATCTCGAATAAACATACTGAAGGACAAACCTGCATCATTCGCGGGATTCTCTCTCAGGTCCAATATTAGGGTCTCGCGGTCTACGATCTCGACGCTGCGCGCGACATGAACGGCAGTCAAAGGATTGTCGCCAGTAATCATGACGCACTATAGTAATCATTAGCGCAAGCAGGTCATGTCTTGAATCGACTTACACGATGCGAGGAGTCCCCTAACATCTTTAGCGTCTCCACAGCGTCCGGCTTCAGGGGACAACTGAAGATGAGGAATCCCGCAAAGTTGAGATTACTCTCGACTTCATCTCTCGCGATTTTACTGATCTGTGGAAACAGTTCTTTAACTCGATTAAGATTCGGTGCCCAACTAGACGTACCTTCTGGTTAGTCATGGAATCCATTTCTTTGATACCAAGAGCGAGGACACGACTACCCTCACGGGTAAACCACTTGTACGTATCATCATACCAGTCCGGAACCTGAGCCAGCATCTTCTTGATGGTTTCAGGAGCGCCTTTGACCGCAGCTATGCTTTGTCCATTGGGAAGACTGGCGATGGAGGACATGCGCTTCAGCGCCGAGGAGAACTGGAAATGTCTACGGATGACAAGCTGCGTCCCATGGGGTGCAGACTTATTGGCCGGAGAGACGGCGTTACCTAGAAGGGACACCAGTCAGTATCCACCGATTTCGGTGGAACATCATGCATACCGGCACCAATGGTCCATTCCAGAGCATCCAACGTAGCTTTCTCCATAGGATCGCCGACGGTCGTGCCATCATCCAATCTAACCAGCGCGTGTGCCGAGGCCAGGCAAAGGGTTGTATGCCTCTGAGTTTCTTTCACATTAACGAGTCTTGAAGGCTGACTGGGACTGCGAAGTGTCACATGATCAGTTCGATGTTGAATGATCAGGAAAATGAGCAAAGAACTTACTCGACGCCCGCGACCCCCTCTACGATGAGGTTCTCAGCCGTAATAGTGCCAGTTTTGTCGAAACAACACACATCAACCCGTCCTGCAAATGGGATTCGGAAAGGCTCGGTGCAGAAAATGGCTGAAAAGACTGTTAATTTCCGGGCTCTGAAGATTGTCATAAATGTCTCTCACCAAACTTGGACAAAGCGACCAAAGATGCGTTGACGGCGAGAGACAACTCCATCGGCAGTTCGGGCGGGACGACACTCGTAATGATCAAAACACAATCAAGAAGCAACTTCGATTTCTTCAAACCCCTCTCGATACCCTTCACCCATACATACCAACTGGCCGCAATCGCAAATATGAGCAGGAACCCAATGAACAAGAACGACTCCAGATTATTCGCCGACACGCGTTCGGTGGAGAAGATCATGGTGCGCACGAGCTGGCCCTGAGCTGTGCCGAAACCGGTGCGCATTACCACGCCGAGGCAACCTCCGTCGGGCGTTTGGAGGGGAGCATTACCCTGAGTGAACTGCAAGGCCTTTGTGCCACTGAAGAGTATCGCATTCTTGTGGTATCCGTCGATGTCCAGCTTTTCCGACATGTCCGCTGACGCAATCGACTCCTTCAGCAGAGGCGTTGACTCCCCTGACAACATCGCCTCGTTGACGATGCATGAGCCGGAGACGAGCAGGATGTCCGCCGGGACGTTGGTTTCGGCCTGGTGACGGACTACGTAGAGTTCTCATAATGAGTTTCTAGGCTGTGACACTGTGCACTCACCCATCGAGACGACATCCCCGGGTAATAGCTCATCAGTCTGCAGCGTTATCCACTGGCCATCGCGGAAACATTGTATTGGGTAAGGCGCGACGGACATTGTCCGGAACTCTGTTAAAGTTCTCACACGCTGCAGCGGGTTTGTAGTGAGAATGTGTCTAGTCATTACACGCACTACTCACCTGCCAGACGACGGTGCACTCGAAAACCACGAGCATGAACAGCGTGAACAAGCTGTAGTACCAGTATTCATCCAGACACCACAGGGCAACGCAAAAGATCTGGAAGACAAAGAAAGGTGCCGTCGCATGCTCGGAAAACAACTCCGTGAACGATGGGATAGGGATGTTGAATTCGTTCTTGCCGTACAGAGTCTTGAGCGATTCGATTTGCGCTGCAGTAAGACCGTTCGGCGCAGCAAAAGTCCCCAAGGGAGGTTGGCTCGAACACGGATATGGCAAACGTGCAAACGTGAGAGGTTCGACGGATTTGATTGTGTACGTATCTCGCTGATAGCTGAAAGTGTATGTGGAGGGGTCCGACGGATTCTTCTTCACTAGGGGTACAATCTCACCCTGGCCACGATGGGGGGCAGGAACTATCCGCACGCAGTCCGCAACTTGCACCGACCTGGCCTAAGTATACGGATAAGCTTTGCAGCCACCGGACAGCTCAGCATGCGCACCTTTCTCGTCGTGATCCATGCCTTTGCGCCAGCATTCCATCGTGTCACCAAGAAACTAAGCGCATGACCGGCACCGAGCGATACACACGCAAGGAAGGTCCACTCTTCGCTCTGCAGCCACTCATCGTACTTGACGTAGTATGCATACGCTAGCAAAGGATAGAGCGAGAGGAACGGTATCGTGTAAAGGTGAGTGTACCACGGCAGGGCGACATGCAGGCTCGCCCGGACGATATCCGTCGAGTCCACTGCGACATTTACCCTGCACAACGTCAATAAATGTGTGAACTGTAAACCAACAACTTACATTACTGCCGGGAGAGGAATGAGAAGACTCGAAAGCACAGATTCGGCGTTTGCGTACGCGGCGTGGCAAGCGTCGTTGCCGCCGGCATTCAACCGGCATTGGACGTACTTTGCTCTCTCAAACGCTGCCAACTCTGCTTGCGCTCCTTATCCTAAGTCCTGCTAAGTTGGCTCTCGGGCCCGAATGAAAGCATTTACAGGCCTGATATCGTGCCTATCGATAGCCAAGTGAGCAGTATGGAGGTTTTAGACGATCCCCTCGACGGTGAAGCATCCCCTCCTCCGGATGTGAACTTGGACCTCGGCCGAAGTCTACAAGTTCAGATAGACGTCAAGGGGCTCGTAGGAGATGCAGTCGGAAACGTAAGTCAGTTACGAAAGGTACCTGGAGTCGTTCTCTGGAACTTTACAGATGAGTATAAGTCCTACGAGCCGTGATGTTGTTCTTGCGGCGTATGTCATTCTCCTCGAACACAGAGGTCGAAAGCTAACATGCACTGGAGGCGGAAGGGACTGTTCATAATAGACCTGCAAGCCCCTCTTGAGATACCTCGCTTCCTACCTCAAGGCGGGACTTGGGACGTCGCAGACGTGCAATGGAATCCTCACCGAAGTCACGGGAAGTACATAGTATCTACATCCAGCGAGAAACTGTGCGCAATATATCACAACTACCGTGCATAAATTGACTATTGAAGTCTGACAGCTTAATCTGGGACCTGTTGCTTGTCGGCAAGACGTCTATTGAACATATATTACACTCGCATTATCGCGCCATAACAGACATCAACTGGCATACCAGTGAACCCGACTTGGTTGTTAGTACGGGGATTGACTCATGGCTATGGTGCTGGGATCTGAGGGACCTTCGTAATCGTCACAAGCCCGTGTTTGGTGCGTTTATCCTTGTATTCAGCAACTAAACGGGCTGCTAACTCACAGTTTAGGGATGTGCGCATTCAATGGTAAGGCTTAATTGGCCACACCACCATGCTGCTCCTCAATCCCCCCTGCTAGGTGCCGGGACTCAGGTCAAGTGGAACAGACAAGATCCTCACCTTCTGGCGTCGTCGCATATGAATGAAGTGTTAATATGGGACCGTCGCGTCTGTATCATCCAACACGCCACTGGATACAGCTCACGTTTCCTATAGAAAGGCTCTATGCCTGTCGAAACTATACAAGCTCACGACGCGAAGATCTATGGGATTGACTGGGCCCACCACTCACCGCGTGAACTTGTAACATGCTCTCTTGACAGATCTATAAAGGTATGGGACTTCAGTACAGCCTGTCCCGTCAAAGGCACATGTCACCCGAAAACGACCATACACACCAGATATCCTGTCTGGAGAGCGAGAAATCTGCCCTTCGGCCATGGCATTCTGAGCTTACCTCAGAGGGGCGAGACTGTACTGGAAATGTATGCCCACGATGACCCTCGCAATCCAATACACACCTTTGAAGGACATACCGACGTAGTGAAAGAGTTCGTATGGAGGCGAGGTGAAGGAGGTAGAGTATCCTTCCTGCAAGGCTGATGCTTTGGTTCTGACACCTATAGGTAGAAGGCGAAGAATTCCAACTCATCACATGGTCCAAGGACAGGACGCTGCGTTTCTGGCCCATCACCCCTGACGTTATGCAGGTCTGTGATAGTCAGGGTAATCGAAGTCGGTAAGCCAGATGCTGACATGGTCGTCTTCAGAAAACGGGATGCATCCCTAAATGCGCAGTCAAACGGACAGTCAAATCCAAGGTGGAAGAGGACATTTCTTACCGAAATCCACCGATAGGAAATGACCGCTCTCCTGCGCTGTCTGCGCCGGTTGGTCATCGATCAATCCTTGCGGAAGTCAGAGCACCGCTACCTCCTCGACCGCCTTACACGCATAGACATGATCACTCAAGTGGAGCTCACGAGAGAGATGGCTCGGCCAGAGGAAATGTACCCTCCAGTACTACCTCGACGCCGATTCACATCACTGGGAGAGCTGGAGGAACGATGACCCGCGGGAATTTAGGGGGTAGGTCGGCGCGCATGAACCCTTTAGACTGGCTGTCGAGCGTGAAGGTCGAGAAAAGAAGAGAGAGCTTCTCTGGACCCGGAAGTGGCGTTCACGGCGGCCACAAATCGCGAGGCAGCTCTGCGTCCACGGCTCCATTACGCGCCGACCTGCCTGGTTCGCGAGTAGTATCTGACCAATGGCCACGAAGTTCTAGCCAGACTAGGGGAGAAGAAGCCTCCTCCCCGAGTCAGTCCTTGCAAGACGAGTAAGTGATAGACCCGTGCCTTGATATGCGCCGTAGTTGATATCGGTAATCCGTCAAGGATAACCGCTGTCCTGACAAAGTTGGCCTCGCATAAAATACGCCTCGAAAAAGTGTGTGGTAAATTCTCTTGTGTAATAAATCATCGATCTCATACAGCCTGCAGCACGACCTCATGAAGAAACGAACGTGTACACTTGGTCTACATGGCCCATGGGGGGATTCCTCGTCCTACGTGTTCATCCGAGTTACATTCACATTTCCCAGAGCCTACCCTCAGGCAGCGCATCCCCAAGGCACTCCGACCGTTGATCTTGAGCGCAACCCTCTCATCAGCATGAAGCATCGTACTTATATCCTCAGACGGCTGCGGAATATCAGGGAGACCAAGCGTCCATGCTTAGAAGCGTGCCTAACATTTTTGCTTTCCGGCCGTGAAGTCGATCGCGAGAATGCCGGTGTGCCACCGGCTATGGACTCAGAATCCGAGGATGAAGGGGCGCGGGGCAGGGGTGTCACGGTCTCGCTAGTCAGAAGCAACAAAAACCTGGCTGAGCCAAGGACATCACAAGGCGTCTTTGGGCCTAATGGTATGTGGTACTTTGAATCGCGCCTCTGCAGTCAGCGTACTCATTTATCTCCAAGGTGAACTCGTCTGTTTCTTCAGAGCGCCGCCTCGTATAGTGCGAAGCGCGATCAGGGACGTCTCCGCGACGCCCTCGGTGGCATCCCACATGCAAGAGAGCACGTCGCGTCTACCGCCCCCGGCCGGGTCTGTGATTGACGCGATGCAGCGTCTCGCTGCTGCCGCTAGCGATAGGGTTGCCCCTCCGGTACCGGGCGGTAGTGATAATACCGATAATGTCCTCAGAGTGATGACAAACCTGTTAACATTCACCCACCCGAGAAGTAAACAGCGGCAAGACCGAAGCAAGACGGCTGACAGCGGCCGCGGCAGCTTTTCCCTGGTATCGACAAGGCTGAGCACCGTCTATCTTAAGGATGCATCACATATCACGGGAGTCGATTCCGTAATCGCCGCAGAATATGTGTTCTCAGGCTCGAGTCCCCTGGAAGTCTGCAAGCGAAATTCGGAGTTCGCCAGGAAATTATGCCGATTTGATGACGAACGGGTGTTTAAAGTATTGCATGCGCTTATGACTAGTAAGGACGACACTAGTCGGAGCCAATTCTCCCACCAGCACCCTATTTTATCTCCTGTATCAGATTCAATACTGAGTCGCCTGTATGTCCTCTGGATTTTATCGTGTCAAACTTTCAGCTGACACTTTGCAGGTACAATCAATTGTGTCAGGAGAAAGACGTCCAAATGCTCGCTTTTCTTGCATCTGTCATTCTGCATGTTCATCTTAGTTCTCGACCATCCCGTAAGTGGCCTCTCATCTCCCTCTACGATGTATTATCTCATTTGCATAGCGAGCACGATTGGTAGGGCGAGGGTCATGAAATTCTCTCCTGCACTTTCCAGTGCATCCCATAAGGCGTCCCTAGACTATTTCAATGCCCGTCCACGATCGGATAGTCGACCTCACACTGTCTCTTCTTCCGTTAGCAGACCCCGTCCACCATCCTCTCCGGCTACCCCTCCTGGTCCAATGGTTTCTTCTTCAAATTCCTCAAAGGGGTCATGGTCAAGTCTATTCTATACGACAGGCATGCGGAATACGGTTCTGGGAGGGCAGGAGTCACCTCAAGATAGTGGTCAGACGGGTCTGCCATCCGCGACGAAGATGGGTGGTCATTCTATCCCGGTTCCCGTGATCGCAGACAAGCTAGCCCAAGATGCTTTGCGCAGGAGGGCAGTGCGCCATGGCTCTCCTGCTAACCCGTCTCCCTCCAATTCGAAGTCATGGAACGATGTTCCGTTATCCATCTCGCGATCGATGTCCTCTATTCCTTCAGTCGGACGCATACGTCGCCGAACCTTCTCGCAAGTTGTCAGGCCGGAGGTTTCGCCTGCAAAGAAGAGTCTGGTCTTCAATTTTGAGGAACAGAGCGGGTCAGCTCACTCATCATGAATGCCCAGGAAATAGGCGGCTAATATTGTGCAATCTTCAGTACAAATTCCTCTACAATGTCTGACCCAGCTATGCTGCAACAGCTGATCAGTCATGTCATAGTGTACTCCGAGATGCTCTTTAGATGGGGATTGTTGCAGAAACGCGCTGAGTTAATCTCATCCATCGGTGGCGAAGGGATCAGATTGCACAATTTCCAAGAATGCAAGGAGGAGATTACGTTTGGTGAGACTTGGCCTTCGCTTACCAGGATAAATATCACCCAGATGCGCTGATTTTCCTCCGATCATTGTAGGATTGAGGCGTATCTGCCCGCGTTGCGGTGTGGACGACATGCAACCACGCAAGAGTAGGATCCACTGCCCCAACTGCGACGCGCGTCCAGGGAAAGCAAGCTGCGCTATCTGCCGTCTGCCTGCGGAAGGTGCGTACTCGTGAGCCTACTAAACGGAAAGCCAACTCAGTCTTACCTGCAATAGGTCTCTCCTTCAATTGCCTGAAATGCCGTCATGCCGTACATATCGCTTGCCAGAGCAGGTATGAATTCACGACTTGTCCGACAGGATGCGGTTGTGCTTGCGCAGCGAATCACAAGGGGTGGCATAGATTCGCAGTGGCTCGGCTAACAGCACAACATGGACTTCCTTCCTGAGACTTCTTGGACTTCCCCTGTTCATAACTTTTCCAGGTATGGAAACTTGCTTGTAGTACCACATCTTATGCAGCTATTGCTACAAGCATCCGGAATCCAACAGTCTCGTGTGATCCAGCCGGGCCGGGGGTCATCTTGGATGCTTTGTTTCTCTTCTGATTGTGATACCAGGAGAGACACAAGCAAGGCCACCACCTCGCGATCGCCAGCGTAACTTCATCTCAAACTACTACCGTGGTAGTTCACGATACGGGCCACCCTATAAAACGGGCCGCCCGAATATCTCGAGAATGACTACGTCCATGCTCAAACCGCTTGCGCACACTATACGATTGCAGAGCCTGACTTTGGGGAGATTCGGTGGAGGCTGCGCTGAGGTAGAGCAGGGACAATTGGATTTTCAATGTCCGGATCTCGTTTGGTGGCCTCACTATAGAATTTGGTTTGCGGTACGTTGTTGTTATAGTGTCAGCGTGAGTGGCCCGGTTCCTGGTTTTGGCACTCATTCAACCCCCTTCGCGATTCTGCCCTTAGTTTCCTCATTTACCCATGCAAACATATGAAAATGGTCCGAAAATGTTCCTAAGATCGATACCTACAGGACTATACTTTTATTTTGCCGTAATCTGAAGAACCGAGCGAGCTACAGTCGATATGCGCCAAAGTGGCCCGGATCTAGCGCTGGACAGTATACCTTCCCACGCCCCCAACGACTGAATTGGTGTTCTCAAGTGAAGATAGGTTAGGGTTCTCTCGCTGCAGGAATACACATTTGTTCGTAATCATGTCCCCCGTACGCCTGGCCCTCCTCGTTTGTGACAAACCAATCCCAGCCGTTGTATCGAACCATGGTGCATATCCGGAAATATTTCATGAGTTTTTGACCGCCACGTTCCCTGGAAAGCCTGCGTCTGAACCCAGTTTTGTACTCGATTGCTATGACGTCGTCAACGAGCAAGCATACCCTGCAGACGATGCAGTTTATGACGGAATATTGATAACAGGATCGGGTAAGTGAATTATGCTATAGACGCCATTCGACCATAACCCTTTTATCCTTTGGGAAGCTGCCTCGGCATACGAGAACGTCGGATGGATTCAGAGATTGGTGGCGTACGTAGCCTCAGTTATCAATGAGAAGCCAGACGTCAAAGTTATCGGTGCGAAATATTTGGACGTATGGTAGGGCGAGAAGTCTGAGCCCGCACTCTATCCAGGCAGCTGCTTTGGTCACCAGATCGTCTCGATCGCCATGGGTGCGGAATGCGAACCCAATGGCGGGCGATGGGAAGTGGGTGTGACTGAAGTGCAGTTAACGGAGATTGGAAAGAGACTCTTTGGCCAGTCAACCATTGTGCGCACAGTTCGAGACTTGTGCCCTTACACCATTGCAATGACGCCCTTTCCCCAGAACATCCAGCAAATGCATCGAGACCACGTCCCATCCTTGCCGGAATCTTTTCATCTGCTTGGGTCGACCCTGATAACCCCGAATCAAGGCATGATCCGTTTTGATCCGTCTTCCTCGGCTGCGATGCCCGTCTCAGCATCAGCCCCGGCCACATTTAGGTTGACGGATATACAGGTACTGACTGTGCAGGGTCATCCGGAGTATACAGCAGACATCGTGAAGCTTCTTGTCCAGGCACGTAGTGCTACGGGCATCATCGACAAGGCTACCGCAGAAGACTTCTATAAGCGTCAGGACTGGGACGATGATGGCAGAGGCGTCATCGGAAAGGTTATTTGGGGCATCATGGGAGTCCAAATTGGATAACGGCCAAGTAGATTCGAACTGACGAAGAAGTTGTAGTCACATATTGACTGTGCCTCATTTGCTCATACATACTGTAGATTGTTCGAAAGGCTCGAGAACATGGTTATCGCAAGCCAAGGACATCCTCCAGCGTCAATTCACCTGTTTCCTGTCGATCGACGTCACTCGGTGGAACAACTGAGAGGTCCTCAGTATGCACGGGTTCCAGAGTGATGCGGACCTCGAGAGGAGTCGCATTTGCACAGTAGAGGACGTTGTCTTGGTGTCGAGTGATCTGATGCACATTCATGCTCCATGCAGTAAGTTTAGAATCTCAGAGCACAACGCTAACGACGAGCAGCAATTGTGACAACCTCCCATAAAATACGGGCAAAGAAGGGAAAGGCGAAGAGCTATAGTTGGATATATCAACCAATAACTCCCGGCAAGCTAAGAGTTACTTACAACGTATCGCCTGGTCGACTTCGGGACCCCAGGCTTCACAGTTGTCCTGGTAGTAAAAAACGCGTCGGCTACCAAAACAAACAGGGCAGGCTTCAGCCTGAAGTTCAGGACCATTGGTGAGGGAAAACAGCAGTGATACTGGGGCGCTTTGAATAACATCGCATCACCGCCATGTTTGAACGAAGCTGAAAACAGGCACAGGCCCATCAGAGGGGCGGGATTACGAAGTTGTCCTGTGTATAGCCTGCATCCACGCCTTGAGTATCGAGCGCGGAAGGAGACGTCGGTACATACAAGAACCAGGTCCAAGTCCATAAACTCCAGCCGCCAAGATCAGAATGAGTAGAAACCTATTCTTGCGATAGATGTCCCTGGCAGCATTCATAGTCACTAGCAGAAACAGCGAACATACCTGGCCGATGAAGTCGATGCTAACTAGCAGACAGATCCACAAAAGCGGACGAGGACCCAAGTGTATGTTCGCGGTAGTGTCTCGTGTGGACATCTCCAGATTAGCGAGGGCTAGTACTATTGTCCTCGAACCTTAAGGAGATGGGTTACAGGCCATTTATTGCAGCACTCACAGAGATCATAGATCACGATCGCAATCATCAATCACCGTTCTTTTATCGTATACGTGGGGTTGCAGAACATGAGCCGAGTATTGCGGATGAGACTCAGGAGAGGGCAGTTTGGATATATGTAGGCCAACACAAATATGATATGCGACAGTTACAACCTGAGAAATAGCGCACGGTCATCTCCCAATAACATTTGACACGAGAGGCGACCTACTATTGTTGATTCACGTGTTGAAAGGCGTTCGCATGTTGATAGTTCAAAGAAAGCCCTCGGCACGAATCGCGACAGAATCCAAGTTCTTGGATACCTACGTGCGACGGGTAGGAACTTTATGGGATTAAACGAGACGTGCCCCAGATATGTTGCCAGGCAATGATAATCTTCCTCCTCTTCAACGAGGCGAAATTGGTCTCTACCGGCCCTTATGATGTCCACGACTGCCATCTGATGCCGAGAGAGATAATGGCAACTTTTGGTAGGTCATGACCGTATATAGGAACGTCGAGAGAAAAGAAAGATCAAAAGCCTGATCTCCACCGTTGGACTCGGCGAAGGGCGACAGCCCGAAATGATTCCACGAAAGACAGCCGCTCACCTGCAAGGACATGCCAATATCTGATAAGTTCACAACGACGTTACGGTATACCCCGGGGAAGTATCTGTCACTGCAGGGCGTAATCTTGAGATAACGGTGAGATATGCACAACCAGCTCCTGGCTGGCTATCAATGTTCTAATACCAGGCAGCGCCAAAGTGATGCCGTTCCCTCACGACTATGGGACAGGTTCACCGCGAGCACCCTGTTGGGGCATATCATCCTTGGGTATAAATATGGTCACAGCTCTTACAATTGAGAAGGCATAAATATAGATTAATTGAGACACACCGCATCCGTCAAAGCCTGGGTGAAAGCGACAAACTGTCACCCCTGGAATCTATCACGATAGCTACACGCTATCGGTGAGCCATACAAACAAAACGTGATCATGGCTGCAGCCGGCATTTCGATGGGATCAGCGACATTACTTTGCAGCTGGTGTGATTTTTGATACGTTCGCGAATCCATTACCATCCAGGCTAACCCTCAGAGCGCCCGCATAAGGCAGCGATAGGGTTTAGGGGAGACATCAGAGGTGATCCAAGGTGTCAGCTTTGAGAAGTTGCATAGCCTGTTCACTATAACATGGGTCGTTGGAGATGACGAACCCAAATTTCCGTTCTGTGTCACTACAAGAGGTTGATCGTCACCATTCAGACTATGTTATTTCGGGTCCTCTTACCTCAAGTATAGGTCGATTCTTCCGGTCACGTCAATGGGTGTCTGAGGCAATGATGTCATTGGGATCCTAACAACGGTGAGAATATGGGAGACTACGGTATTGTGTCCCTCCGGTCCAACACAGGCCAAGGCGTGGCGTCATGAGGCGAGCCACGACGTACGAATGCAGTTCGGCAGATCGGGGTACAAAAGCTGACAGTTGTGACCTGAGCAATAGCGCAGAAGCAAGATTACTGAGTTCATTAAACCGCGGAAAGATGAATACAATATATAGGAGCGGAAAGCAAGTGGCAGGCCTGAGTAAAGACTGAGTTGTGTACAAGGCCGGCTCTGGACGCTTGGACGACTTACAAAGGAATAGGATGCTCGATAACTCATAGTTCAGGATGCTCCCCTGAAGCCCATCCGTCATGCACCAAGTCTTGAATGTCCCCTTCTCTCCCTACAATGTAATACACGGCCCTGCGCTGTATAAAGTACAGATGTTGAGGCAAGTACTTGACGGCGCCAGTCACAATCAACGTCATCAAGAGTGACCATATCACCACTAAAATCAACATGTATTGGTCAATACCACCACCATAGGCAGAATATAATGAACGTTGACACGTACCCAAGGTCATCTTCTCCCAAGGCTCAAGTAGACTGGTTCCGAACGTAGCTTCCAACCACATTCGCCGGCGCCAGAGGAACATGCCTAGTTTACCCTCCGGAGCTTTCATTTTGAGATCTCCAATCGCTACAGTCCGCAAAGGAGGCGTAGGCTGCAATCCCGTGGCCATGGCTGAAGACGGAAGATCCTTGAGGAGCGCTAACTATTTATGTCGCGTTTTGTGTAAGCCAAATGCAACATAAGCCAAATGAGGTATACTTCGGCACCGTCATGTTTTTCTCACGCGTTGGCCACATACGGTATGTTCTGCGCCCATATGTTGTTCTCACGCGTTCTCCGTCGTTTCGACCCCTTCCCATTTAGACTATACTCCTATGTACCATTATTTTCCCTGCTTTTCTCATCTCTCGGACGCATTTCACGGCATCAACATCTGTTTAACATGAACTGCTGGAATAACTTTTCACCTAACTGCGATCAGAGAAACGTCTCGAAGCCACTAGCTCCATGCCCCAAGTGACCTTTTCGACGCCTTCGTCGTCATCGACGACAATAAGCTCGGGATGCCGTACCCTTTGTTATAAACTACCTGATGCCTGAGACTGACTGAGAGCTTGCAAACATGTTCCCGCTTCCAGCTGAGATTTCACTTCACATATTGTCCTATCTTCCTGTTTCCGACATCGCTGCGCTATGTCGTACATCGAAATCGTTCAATGATTTTATCGAGGTGAATGAAGCTACAGTGTACAGGCAGGCTGCGGAATGGCACCGATTCGTGCCTCCTGGACTGATGCAGCTAGAGGATGCGAAGGCTCGTCTCAAGGGATCATGCACGGGCGGCATCACAAGTTGGAAAGAGCTATGTACGTGGTTTTTCTCTTCTGGCGCAGCTACATGACCGAACACCGAAAGGTCGTTGCTTGATGATTATAGAGCGCAACTGGGCTGGGCACGGGACCGTCGTGGAAGGTGCATACCCTCCACAGAACAGTAGTTTCAACGTCCACCGGTTCAAGATTGACCATGAGCAGCGCACCCTGATCAGCACCAATGTAGACGTAAGCCATCCAGAGCCCGAAGGTCATATAGAAGTCAAGGCCTTGGAGGACGGGCGTCCGCTCTGGTATATCAGCCATGTATGACTTATCCTCACCGCGGGATGCGTTACCGTACGCTCACTTACGCGTCCATACAGTGGTCTATCCGCCTGCAAGCACATTGCGACTTTTCCGATGGGTTCCTCGTCTTTGACAGGTCTGACCGGCCTATGCTGGAGGTCTGGAGGCGCTCAGTAGACGCCTACGAGAGGCGACATGGAATCATCAGCCCGGCTGGAGGGAGTCTGCCAGACCTGTCGCTGGGCCTGATATTCGAAGACTTGGCCCGAAGCGCCCATGTCCCCAGGCTTGATGCGTCGCCCAACTATAGCGAGACTTTACGTGGCCATTTCGTCCCGCACGGCCTAATAGCGATTGAGGAGCCCGTTCGGATCCGTGCTTACAGACTCGTTTATCCCACACTCGCGGTCGCTTGCCAGGGTCTAAACCCGATTGTCTTCCTGTACGACATCCGTACCGGGCGCATGATCCGAAGAATCGACGTTGGGGAAGGCATATATGACTTGGGAGGAACTGGCGTCATTGCCGAAGGGCACGCCAGGGATGTACTATACATCGACGTTAACGGTGATTGGGTCGTGCTGTGCATGATGGGTGGTATGGTGTTGATACCCAGAGATGGAGAAGCAGAGCTTGGGGGAGATATTGGCACTGCCAACGATAGTGCGCCCGGCAGACTCGATAGGATGATATTCTTCCCCAGTCATGATATGGAGCTTGAAGTACCGCAGTTCTCCCGCGAAGGGTCGATGTTACTGGCCCGATGTTACGGTGACGGAGCCGAGGCCAATTTGGAGTCCCCTTCCATTCACCGACATGAGCTGGCTGACCTACGGTACAAGACACGAAGGCGGGTGAAGAGCAAGTTTGCCATGGAGCATATGACTTTGAAACCGCCACGCAATAAGGACATGCCTGAACGCAGTAATGCACTAGTCTGGGTAGGTGCGATGCGCTTGCAATTCTTTATTGCTGGTAATGCTTGTGTTTCTTATTTCTCTTGCTACCGGATGTCGCCTCACTGCTGAGATCCCAGCACACCTCTCGCCTTCTGGTCGCCATGTAGCCGTCGTGAACGGGGATGGTCTCCTGTTCATCGTGGTCGACTTCGCCCGTGTGGCAAGAGCTGAAGCGGCTTTTTCGCAAGTCACCCTGAAGATCAACCTTGGAGAAATAGCGAGCAACTTGACCTGGGGCGATGACGATAAACGTCTTGCAGTTGTGACGGTACGTCTCCGCGCTCCGCATGGTTTGAGGCTGTAGTCTGATATGTATTATTTTGAACAGCGCGGTGGAATCTACATCATAGATATCGACCCGTTCAAGCATGGCGTCTATTCCGAGAGCGATCTCTCGTCTCTGCCGTCTCGCACACCTCAGGTGATGGTGAACCGGCTATCGCACTTTTCAGATGCTGGCGCCTTGGACCACGTTTCATGTTTGCAAATGAGTCGCACAGGTCTATGGGTGACTTATGATGCCGGCGCTTTGAAGACAAGTCTCGATGATGAGGGAATTCGCGAGCGTAAGTGCGGTTCTATTAGTCGCGGCGTAGTGGTGCTGATACCGACGTCGGGACAATGGTCACAGCCATGAGATCCGTTTGCTTTGTAGACTTCTCCGATGGGGTATAGTCATCCTTAAAGATGTTAGGGGAATCGTTTGTGGTTTTTGGGAGACCCGGGCTGTGATGGATGCTATGTGGCTGCATTTATTATATTTGCTTCTTCGCAGATCCAGGTCCCATAAATGTATTTTTATCCTCAAGAAAGTAAACTCAGGGTGTGTTGCGGAAATTGTGACGTTCTCGCGTTTAGACTGATATATGTTCGTAAGTTTTGGTACCACGTTAGTCTTGTCCCCAGTCCTCCTACTGAGGAAATCGACTCATATGGTACTTCGAAATCACCGCATTTACTGTAGCAATCTCGTGCTTGAAGCATGTCGCGTCCACCGCAAGTTTGTGTCGCCACAGTCCCCATTGAAAAATGTTTTCGTGATTTGTGGTCATGGCTGTTCGCGCCTCTTCTGCATACCCGACGCTCTGTTTTTCGTGAATCAGTCTCCGACTCAGCTCACACGAGACCAAAGTCGAGGGTGACGACAATATCACTACTCAATGCGAAGCACGGTGTGTTTCATATCTTCTCCATATACTGCTCGTCGGTTTACACATGTCTGAAGCGTCGCACTTCCTGAAACGGCCCACATTGATCTGACTAGTAGGCTACCATCCGAATATCCTGCGCAGCACATATCAGCGAATTCTAAGCAAACTGAATGATGTCCCACTCACTCTTCATGCACCTCCACGCCGCCGACCTCACGCCTTCTCTTCGAATCTATCTTCCCCACGACCCGAACGACTGACTGGCCCAACGCCACAGGCCCGCAGACACCTACCAGTACGCCGCCCTTCTCTATCTTTCCCTCTGATCGCGTACTAATCGTGTGGTCGACGATTTCGTCAAGTATACTGGCGAAGTCAGGTCTGGCTGGGGTAAGTGTCAAACCCTCTGGTAATGTGCAGTCTGGGGGGGCCTCGGGGAGATTGGCGCGTATGCCTGTGTAGTAAATCGATACCCGGAAAGAATTGAAGGTGCTGCGTGCAAGGAAGGCCGCGAAAAACGCGATGAACGGTGTTAGGCAGGCTGACGACGTGTGAGTGCTGATAAACACCGTGTTTCCTGCAGGAATCCCTCACCTGAATCTTGGACTACCCAGACGAGATGTAATGTCTGCACTCGACTGCGGCCTTCCGCCCCTCGTAGCAGGAGGTCGTCTACTATCGCCAGTGGGAAAGTGATGCCGCTTCCGCCGCCTACCATTAGCGCACCGGAGAAGCTAGCCGGGATACAGTGTCCGGTACCGCCTTTCATACAAACAGGTCAGGAAGTAACAACACGCTTACATCGATCCGACATACCATATGGACCCTCAATCATGACCTTGACACGTTGGCCCCCACTCAGGCCTCCTTTCTCGTAACTGTCACTGCAAGCCATTTTATACAAGTTCTTGCTCCATCTCCCGGATTTCTTCGCCAAGACCACAAGTCCTTGAGGCCCACCGCTCGCAGCCGCGATCGTGTAGGGGTGCATCTCTGTCCATCCAAACCACCCCATCTGTCGCGAGAGAATTCGTAACCGCACGTGCTGGCCAGCGCGCCAGCCCGCATTGATGTGCGGTATTTCTAGCTTGGTAAGTCCGAGCTCTGGGATCCTGGACAATGTTGCTGTTGTGATCCGGCTCTTCACTGCGCGGAGGAGTAGGTCGCCTGCGTAGAGGCCCGCTGCCACAGCCACGTACGGGATAGTCTCCTTCTGGTGCAATGGGACCTGCAGGTATATGGCGTCAGCGCAACTCTCACCGTCGTATATGATGAATGGACTCACGGCTATCAGGAAGACTATCAACGCGATGGCGTGCGAGGTGAAGAATATGTTGTACGCCTTATGCCGCCAGATGGAAGTCGAAAAGAATAATAGAATGTCCAGGCATACCAGTGCGACTATGCCCCACCGGATGTAAGCCGTCTGGGCTTCCTTTACCCATCTACCCGCGTATACAAACTTGTATACTGAGCACGACGCGGGTAAGTGCCTGTGCTTGTTATTTGTGATCAGTACTTACTGTAGCCGATGGCATGGACGTTGGCTGCGAGCACCAGGAGGATCCCAGCCCATTGATGGAAGAAGTTCAACTGTCGGAGGTTTCAGTTACCGTTTTCCAGTCCTCCTGAAAATAGCTATTTTCTGTGCTCACCTTCTCGTAGCCCTGTCCAATTAGGATACCGATGGCGTTATTCTTCGTGGCGAGAGCGTACACCAGCGGTATCTGCGACATGGCCACGAAACCTGCGCGTATCGGGTGCTTGAACGCACTGGCGCGATAGACCTCGGCATAGAGGAGCAATGCGAAGTATGCAACGAGCAAGAGAGCTTGACCAAGAGACAACTTAGAAGCGATGGGATAGCGGAGGATGACTGATAGCCTGTGGGCGTATGTCGTCCATTCCGGTACGTGCCTGGGAGGAGATGCAGCCTTCCCACAGCCAGGTTGACTTGTTGGAACATTGCCGAATGGGACCTCTGTGGCCTGTGAGTCATAGGAACGACGAGGGCCGTCTTCAGTTTGCGGAGCCGAGCGGAAGACGAAGCCGTTCTTCAGGTCTTCTCGACATGAAAGCCGCCCGAGTATCCGGGGCAAAGCGAATGCGCCGAATAATCCGATAGCGGCGAGGATGAAGATGTCGATATGGAAGACGAGCTCACCATTGTCGACCGCACTCATTCCGGGATGTCCTGGTAGTGACGCTAGAGAATACTGGGGACGGTGCGGTTCGGAATTGTACTAGTTATGAAGGCGGCTGACAAGTGGGCTGGCCACCATGGTTCTCATCAATATCGAGGTAGGCTGCAATTATTGCAGGGGGTGTGATTATCCTTCTGTCTCGTTACTGCCAGGTTTCTGCTGCAGTCGCGGTCTGGTATGTAGGAAATACAAGCCATGTATCTCTTCCAGACTTTATAGTCGGAGTCACTGCATCCGCCTGTAGGTACCTCGTCATTAGCCGATATTCAAGGTGAAAGTAGCGCACCTTTCGGCACATAAGTCCCGATTTACCGCTGCAGCACGCTTTCGGAGCAAGGTCGGAAGTCGGTTAGTGGCTGTGCACTGCACCTGCGGCCTCGATCTCTTGAGCGTCACTACTCTGGAATACCCTGCCTGTAACGCGTACCTTGACATTGCTGCCTACTCGAAATTCTAGTTATCCTCTACCTCGTTACGATATAAGAGAGTGGATTTATTATGGCGGAGGTTGTCAACGTTCTTGTAGCCTTTGCGGTCATCGTCATCTTGTTTCGTTGGGTAACGTCCAGTACGTCTCGGGATATATCTTAGGCCGGGTCCATCATTGAACTTGATGGTCAGGCAAAGAGTCTCCAAATGAGAGGTCGGCGGCCAGTACGCTGGGGTTCCGCCCGCGAAATATCACTGAGCAAATGGTGCGTGTGCTTGCGCCAGCCTGTGCGGTGGAGTTTTGACCTGAGGGGCTAGGTAGACACCGTTCAGGGCATGTTTCCTGACATACCGAGGTGCGTGGTGTACCGTCAATAGTCTACATCTGACACTGACTCCGGTCGTGTATGGCCTTTGCAGAGACAATATAAAGTACGATCTACTCCGTACGGGAAGCGTCGATCAGACAGCAAACAAGATCCTCGAACGGGGGTTCTTAGATGCGGTACGCCTCCTTCCAACAAGCCTCCCGACCGTCTTTACGCCTGACATGCCATCCAGCCTCCCGCCGCCTACTACACCCTCTACCCCAGCACAGAACAAGCCCCGCCCGCGCGACCCGCTCCTGCGCCAGCGGGCAGCTCAACGGCGACGACGAAGCCTAAATCAGATAACCTCATCAAGCGCTTCCACCTTGAGGAGAAGGTGCAGCAGCCGGTGCAGATATCCGAAGCGGAGGTCGCGGGGAAGGCGGTGTGGGAGGACACGCCGGAGAAGCGGGAGGCGAGTCTGCAGGAGCGGAAAGCGAAGATGATTTTGGCGGCGCGGCAGTGAGTAGCTTTTCCTCAGGATATCGAGGTGCTTGAACGCTGAATGACGTGTGTAGACGTTTGCTAGCTCAACAGCAGCAGGCGGCACCCCGTTCGGCTGGAGGTTCATGACGCTCCATGACCCCCGTAATGTCTATCTTTCTCGGTACCCATGAGGAAAGAATCGGCAGACAGGAGAAATCTACTGGCGTCAAGGTCATTGTATGTAGCTGAGCATTTACTCGTATTCTGCCGCCCATTCGCGAAGGTATCACTGCTGCACAAACTGGCAGACCATCAGGATGCGAGGATGCGGCCCTTTAGACGGCCATTTGCATAATTTACGGTCGCTCCCTGTGATTCCAAAAAAAAACAGCCTGAAAAGCTTTTTATGCATTAAGCGAGAATCGAACTCGCGGCCAGTCGAGTCAAGGCCATCAATGTGGCAACGACTGAGGTTACCACTACCCCATTAATGCGTGTAGGGATGGTTTACTTAATAGTATATAATGAGTTGGAAGCCTTAGTCAACACCCCTTGCTCGTGAATGTCATACGCGCTGTAGAACCGTCACAACGATGTCTCTAGCCAAACTGACATCCCTCTCTACTCAAACGTTATCCCTCCTCCTTGAACGACAACGACTGCAGACCCTCTCCTCGACGTCGACGCACAATGCTAAACTGGGCCAAATCACGCGCAACCTCAACCAGCTCCGGAATGGTATCCTGGAGCTGGAGAAGAACGAGGGCGGGCGCACGGAGGCCGTGAGGCTGCTGAGAAGCCAGTATGAGAGGATGAGAGGAATGCTGGGCGAGGACGCTGCGGGAGTCGAGAGGTATGCGTCGGAAGACGTCTCCATGGGCGCGTGTTGATAGTTAGCGTGATTGTGCAGCCTGCAGGATGACCCGAGTCCGTTCCCTTCGCCCGCGCCGGCAGCACCACGTTCGCCCTCTCCACGGAATGATTCCGTGAAAGTTACCCAGTTCGCGCCGTACACGGATGACCCAGAAGGCGGCCCTCCGAACCGGTATCAGGACGAGGAGCCGCAAGTCATTTTACAGACGCAGCGTCGCCTGATAGACGGTACGTACTCAGTAATGGTGTTACATGCAAATGTGGAACCTGAACATCCCGCCCGGATATCTAGATCAGGACGCTCAACTCGACGTTCTCTCATCGTCAATAAACCGGCAGCATCACCTTTCTCTCCAGATCAACTCTGAACTGGACTCGCATGTCGGGTTGCTCGAAGAACTGGATACTGATCTGGATCGGACGGAAGGCAGGCTGAATGGTGCGCGCAGGAGCTTAGACCGGGTTGCGAAGGGCGCAAAGGAGAACAGTAAGTGCCCTCCCATTCGTCTCACTCCTGCACGCCAACGGACCCTGACACCTGGTATTACGCTTTCAGGCTCGACAGTCATTATCGCGATCCTTATCCTAGTCCTACTATTGCTCATCATCGTCTTCAAGACGTGACAGTATCGGGGTTGGACCCCACCACTCAAACTGCATCATATACGGACACATACCCAGCGATTGGCATATCTGCTTGTATCATAGCATCCGGAACGTAATGACATAACTTATCTATATTCTGGTATGTGCATTTCGAACATCAGCCAGATGGTGTTACTGTCCTTAGAAGTACGCAGCACTCGGTCGAGGGGCATCATCAGCAAGTGAGGTTCGAAGGTATCGCACTCAACGGGCAAGCTTCATGAACCACACTCTTCATCAACAGGGGTTTCAATTTACACTACCCCAAGCGGCACCTTACTTTGTCGATGATACAAAGCACAGGATTGCTAGAATACTCAGATTCCCATATGAACGAAAGGTGCTCATCGGTGCGCCGGAACTCCGCTGGTACGCAGCTCCAGAACCGCACGATGAAGGGCCGCAGCCGTCCGAGACAGGTCCAGCATCTCCAACTTACCTCCGTCCGTGAGGGAATGAATAAACCTCCCTAGCGACCACGGGCCCATCGTCGTCGTGTATCGACCACAGGGTGGCCATTGCCCTCTGAGATCCCGCCAGCAGCAGCCCGCTTGCTAAGTGCAGCGCCTCGTTGAACAATTCGGCATCGCCCAGGCCAGTCTTGCACGCCGGGAGGAGGACAAGCTGCGCTTTCGGGAGCTTCATGCGCACGAGCTGCGAGAGCTCCAGCCTCGTGCCGTCCGGCATCAGGAGCCTGCTCTTCAGCGCATCGTCGAAATTCTGGACGCCGTGGCAAGCAAAGTGCACGCAGTGCGCGGAGGGAAGTCTCTCGATGAGTGAATTGAGAGATACCGTACCCTCGCCTATCAAGGTCGTTCGCTGCTTTGGTCTGATGAACCTCCCTATGATTTCCGCTTCTTTGGGTGGTGCTCGGCAGCGGGCAGTTCTTCTGCGTGAAGGGGACGGCTACTGTGAGCATCTTGAAATTCTGCGTCGAACGGTTATCCTGAGATTGACGAAGGAGGCTGAGTGTAGGGATATAAGACGAGACAATTTCCGGACCGTCTGAGGTCCTGTATCCTGCTACAAGAGCTGCATGGAATGGTAGACCGGTGAAGGCCCCGGTAGGGCACCATCAAATCCTTCGGTGCCCCACCTCAGGCTGTATGAACGGTCACTAAATTCGTCATAGCAAGAAATGCAGTGAAACCACCTTCGAGTCATCCAGCGCGTCCAATACTGGCTTGACAACATTGCACCACAGGTCATCGAGAATCTTCTAAATTCTATGTCCTGTTCTTGCTGAAACCCATCTTTGGATCTGTCTCCTCTGGATTCCTATTTCTGTACCCTGCCCCGAGCGCGGCCAACTGTACTCTCAACTGCATGGCCCGTCCCTCAGACATGCCGGTCAGCGGCACGTGTTTCAAGCGAGTGGATCCCGAGATGATGATGAGGGCATCACATCCGAGTTCACTGCAGTTGAGAAGAACAACCGGTCCATGACTCGGAGTCATGCCTTGACATAGATCCCTGAAAGATGGGGGCTGTAAGAAATCAGAGAACCCGGGGACTTCATGGACCTTTGAAATAAGATCTCTCCATCTCTGCCGCAGTTTCTGGGAATCACCAGCTGATGGACCTCGCAAAGCAGGTTCTGCTCTGACAGAATGACTTGTGGATTCCAGCTGCTGTCTTGCCTCAGACAGCTCCTTGAAGAGATTAGATGCCACATCCCTGAGGGCACTGAAATCATTTCTCAGCTGTAGTAGCTGAGAGAAGAGTACAAATCTTCCATACTCGAGGCTCTCCACAGCTTCTTCCAGGTGGGCATTCTGTATATGGAAGGCTGCAGCATCAACTGCTAATGCATAGACACTCCTCATGGAATAATGCTGGTCATGGATGCCCTGCCCTAGCCAGATGGCTGGAGGTAAGAGGCTGATTGCTTTGTTGTAAGCCTTTGGAGCTGAATCCACGGCCCCTTTCCTGTGAGCCTCATAGGTCCACTTTATAGCATTCCATAGCAGGGTTACTGAAGGATCATTCGCATTGCAGGACTCTTCCAAGCATTGTAGGGCTTCTGCAGGGTCCTCCTTCTTCCCTCGAGCTTGATACATTGAGAGGTATGTGACACCAAGCCCATATTGGAATGTAGCCAGTTCTGAACTGGAGATGTGCACATTGCCAACAGCTTTCTGTTGCCATGTCAAGGCTGCTTGTAGATCCTCACGGCTTCCATATCTTTTATACCTAGCCTGATAGATACTTTCGAGATTGCTGTGCCATGCAGGTAAATTGAGATGCCCATGATGGGGAATATCCTGACAATTTCAATCTTGTCCTTCAGGGCATTTTCCAGGTCTTCATCAAGTCCCCCACCTTTGTTATACTTGGTCTGATATGCAACCCCGAGGATGCTCAGCTGCCTGGCTGCCTCAAGTTGTCCCGCAGGTGTATGCATAGCAGCATGTTTGCCATTGAAGATGGCATACTCTATATCCTCTGGTAACCCCAGTCTCAAGTATTTGGCATGGTAAGAAATAGCAAGATTGGTCTGCCATGTTGGCATCTCTGGGTTCCCTGGGAGGCTCTCCTCCACAGCTAGGGTGAGGTACTTCAAGGCACCCTCCAGATCAATCAAATTGCCCTACCTCTCATATTTCAAATGGCAGGTATGACCAAGGTTATTATGAAGTTCGGGAAGATCCCTATGTCCCAGTATGATCTTCAGCAAGGCCATCTCATAGCAAGAGATAGTTGAGTCCAAGTCATCTGGGTTCCCATATGCTTCATACTTGGACTGATAGCGATCCCTATACAAATTAACTAACCGGAAGTGAGCCAAGGCTGACGCGGCACTGTCCCCGGGTGTATTTGCTACAATGGCCAGTTGCTCCCAGATTCGACTATGCCGCTCATCGGAACCAGCTGGCAGTGGGGTGTCTTGTGGGATCGCATCCGAGGGACCGCGACTCATATGAGATGGGGTAGTTTCTGACTGGAAAGAAATGCACTATTCATGGATTGTCGCAGAATACACATACAACGTTGGCTGCCCACCGTTATGACAATTCTGTTCTCCTTCTCTTCCCCGATTCAATTCATCGGCTGCGGATTCATTATAGGACATCATACGCTATGTATAACTGTCAAAAAGGCTGTTAGTGACGTGCCCAGAGTTGTTTTGCTTCGTATACCGCAAATACGCAAGTCGATGGATAGTCTGAAGGACGATTATTCCAAATAAGAGTCGTCGACAGTGCCGTAATGCCACAATTCCTAGACATGGCTAGTACGTTGGACCATGGAAGAGGGTCCACTCCTCATAGTCATGGGAAATGCACTGATGCAAAAAGACAGACCAACACATACTCGCAGATCATCAAACGTGAAGTGGTATAGGGTTCCAGCACAGTTGTCAAATACAATCATCCCAATTAGACCGAGTGACTATGAACAATCATCCTGAAAATACTGCATCGTCAATCGTCGATCACAATGACCTCGTCCGGTCGTGGTTGTGTTGGCCTCTTCCCCTCTCCATGAGCCACCTTCTGGCGCTTGGGAGCAGCAGTACCAGTCGTATCCCCTGACGAATCGGCATCGTCGTCATCCGAGATCAATGTGCCGCCTCCCGCGCCCCGCTTTCGCTTCCGCGACGCGCCTGAAGCTGTAGACCCTTCGTCGTCCGAATCATCTATCGCGATGGCAGCCGACGCTGAGCGCCCCGTACCATTCTCGACCAGGGGCGTCGCCGTCCTCGACGCTTTGGCTTTGCCGGTGGCTCGGCTGGTCGAGCTCGCCCGGGAACTGGATGTTGACGCTGACGGCCTGGGAGTCGATGTGGACGCTCGTGAAGCAAGGCCAGGGGTGGCTTTCAGCGTGGGTGACGGTGCGGGAGGGCGGGCATACAGTCTCGTCCATTCACGCGCCGTTCTGTTGTGCTGTTCTCGGTTCCGAGTATATTCGTTCGCTATTGAAGGAACTGGAAGGAAGGGTGAGATATCGTCCGTAGCTGCCACATCAGTCAGCCTCACCTAATGGGTCTCCTGCATATCGCGTCAGTACAGAAGGCAGGGCGGACGTGATGGAAATACGCACTAGGATTGGGATCGGTCAGGAGGGACGACAGGGATAATACGACCTTAAATATGGAGAGTGCGGGGGACCAATTGTGTTTCAAGATATCTATGCAGACGTTGCCTCGGTCCGATATATTCATATGATAGATTCTTGGCAAATGAGCGTGAGTTTCGTCCTGTCAGTGATACGGAATGTCTTTCACCTTGTCAGGAATGTAACCTTCGGCGCCATAAATCTGGGAGGGTGAATGAGCATGAAAGCATACCTGAACGCCACCGGGTGCACTCACGGATAATCAGGCGCCAACTGAATCTCCGCATTGAATACGCCGCCCTCGTAGACACTCCCTTCAGGCCCCGGTATTCCTGCCCTCCATAGGAAGAGGTTGTCCGTCGGTGCGAGCGTTATCCCGCCCATGTCCTCCTTCTTCAGGTCATTGATCTCGCGATGTATTCGCTTTATAGTCATCTAGGCCGACAAGTCAGTGGATGTTCACCAGACAGGGAAAGGAGCATCACCTACAGCAGAGGATAGACCGTCTGGCATGGTGGCTTGATTATAGAGGGTACAACTAGTGGAGAGTCGAGTGTGAGGTCTGTGTTAGAGTGTCAGTCCGAGAGCCACCGACCCCACGAGGTCGTAACAGGTCGTGGGAAGCTGTATCACGTGTTTTCTTGGTGGCGAAGCGCAAATCGCGGCGTGGCGAAGTTTAGCGAAGCAGGAGTTCTTTCCTCTGCTATCCTCACTTTAGTCATCATTCAAGCTACTAGTATTCGTTGTATTGACCCTTCATTCGGCAGTTATACTATAGGCGTGGCGAAATAGATCTATAACTGAGTTTGAATGATATAGTTCGGACTTCGAATTGTTAAACTGTATTCGGTAGGTGTTCTCACGCTTGTGGCACCGCATGCACATGCCATTGTCCAGCCTCCCTACCTTTTCACAACGCGTGCAAGCTTCCTACTGAAGCGATCCCATCCACAACTGTTTGTAAAATGAAAGAGATATATTTTGCTGGAGAATTTGTCCAAAAATGCGCTCTTTTACCGCTTATGGTGCTATTTCACTCCCAAAATTGGGGCTGAAGAGTTATATCTGTACTGTGAGATCCGGGACACATAGCTAGGTAGAAGTACTATATAGGTAGGTAAGTGACAAGTGGTTCATTAATTTTGGGATGCATAAAGTGAGCGGCGCGACAGCGCCGCCGAAAGAAAAATGATTTTGACTTCCAGGTTGCTTAATTTCTTGCGATTCACATGAGCAGTGGGATACACATAGAGGTGTCCATTCAAACTTAAAATACCACCAGGTTTTGCCTTAAGCTATCCAGAGAGTTAATACAGCGCGCAGCGCCGCGAAGCAAAATTCATGTGCTGTGGAAACCGAAGAAACTAGCCTCGAGGGATATTTCAAGCGAGGGAGATCCCTGAATATAGCACTAGTATACCCTTTCAATAATATGCCCCTTCTGAAGCTCACGGGGCCCGAACAGAGTGTCTTTCCCTTCTCTTTCTCTCTCTCCTTCGATTTAATTTCTTACATTTCTTTAATTGATCTAAAAGTCCACACCTATAGTACATAAGCCCTTCATTCATAGGTTATTTATTGCAAGATTCGAGTGAAGTACTTAAGTAGAATCGAAGCAGTTTTCCTTTTGACAAGGTTGTCCCTCAAGTTCACCCGGTGCAGTTTAAAGTTATCGGCTGTCGCATGGATAATGAATGCATCTCTTCTCATTATGTGGTCTGGCAGTACGAGGTTTGCTACGAGCTCGCTGTAAGTAATCCTGCTCGAATCCTGTCGGATATCCCGATATGGACTCGCCACTTCTATTCGTGTCAGCATTTCGCACGATTCGCCACCTTGAGATTGGTGTCTCTTTTCTTATTATCTCGCTTCTGTGATATGTTGGCCGTTTGCCTTATAAGTAGACGATTCAGCGTTCATGTGAACTTTTGTCTCTTCCCCCACTCCCCCATCTTTACGCGACTCCGTCTGCGTCGGACACGCCACCGGATCCACTACTGAGTACAAATTCTTTGCCACGGCTTCGCCTTCGTTTCACTTCGGCGTCGAATTCAAAGAACGAGTCACGTCGACTTGGGTCGGAATCCGAAACGTCGTGGTATTTTGCATCCTTAAAGTGAGTTCTTCCAACTGTCTTTCTTTCAACAAAACATATCCTTCTCTGATATCATATTTCACCATCACATGTGGCATGGGGTTTGGGAGAACAACTCACTGCTTCGCGAGTTCGCCTCGCTTCGCCATGGACTCACCATTTCCCGCCACCCGGCAACTGCCGTGTTCACGATTGTCCTCTTCGAGACGAGTCAGCCTGACTGCATGCTACCTTCATAACGACTTCACTACCGACAGCAAGAGAAACAGAATGATACCTCGAATATAGGCCATCATAATCGCATCGACTCGGCTTATCCTTATTTTTATTCAAACGTAACTCAAGAACAATCTGTCATGTTCGGTGAATCGGACAGCGAGAGCCCTCGCGTACCCAGCCCATGGGACCCCTTCATATCTGCGTCCCCATCACCGTGTTCACTGGAGTCGAATGCATCCCAGAACTTCAAGATCAAGAAGCTGGCGCCTGAGGCGGAGGATGTGAGCCTCTTTAGATTGCTCGGCCCGAACCACTGACCTGAAAGGCCCCAGGGCAACGTGGAGTACAAGCTCCAGCTCCTCTCGCCGTCCCCCGCCCGTTTCGCGCGCCTCGTGACGCAGCTGAAATGGCGCCTCCTCGAGGGTGGCGGGCAGGCGTACTACGAGATCGGTGTCGCGGACTCGGGCGCGCTCATTGGCCTCTCGCGCGTGCAGCTCGAGGAATCCATCCAGACACTCGAGGAGATGGCGGGAGAGATCGGCGCGAGCGTGATCATCGTCAAGGAGATCGAGCTGACCGGCCGGGACCGCGAGCGCGCGAAGGAGGAGCTCCAGGCGACCAGCGGGATATACGGGCGTAGGAACCGGCGGCGCAACAAGAACATGGCCGCTCTGCTCGCCGGCGACTCTACCGCTACAACGACGACGACCGAGTCCGAGCTGTCCACCGCCGACATCACTGACGCGGAGCCGGATGATATCGAGATAGCCACTCCCGCCGCCTACCCTTCCGCTTTTGACGTAGCCTCCTCTCCCACCTACGTTGCCCTGGACGACGCCCTCGCCCTGTTCTCCATGGACCCCGAGCCGGACGTCTCCGACGTTGGCGTTGAGGCGGACGTCGAAACAGACCCCGAGCCCCGCGTAGCCGTCGATCTGGAAATAGCGTCCGTGTACAAGCCCCGCCCCTTCCGCCGCCGTGTGCACGCGCACGGACACGTCGACGCAGTCGCGCACGGCAAACGCGGGCTCGGGAAGAAGGCGAAGAAGATACTGCCCTCGTCCGTCGAGGCGCTGAAGGGCGTGAAGACCGCGCAGGAAATTAAGACGGCCAAGGAGGCTAAACTCGCAAAGCGCCTGGCTGCGCGGGAGCGGAAGAAGCAGGAGAAACAGCGGACGCTGATGGCGCAGGATTATTTCTCGGGCACGCCGCTGTCGGTGTTGGAGGACCAAATATCTCAGTCCGATGAGAAGGCGGACAATGTCGATGGACTGATACCAGCCCTCGGGACGCTCACGGTTGAGGCCAAGGAAATGCAAGCGGTCCGAGACACGGGCCCTGTGGCAGCACTAAACGACGGAATTGTGAATGCACCATTGGGCGGGAGCCCTGACGACGAGATACTCCCTCCACCAGCTGACCAGGGCGAGCCGCGTCTCATCGTCGAAGTCCTAGTCGTCCGAAAGCTCTCATTAGAGGAGGCATTCCTCGACTTCGGCGGATTCTCTCATATTCCGTAAAGGCGGCCACTTCGTATCTGACGGTCACCGACGAACATTTACTTCGAATCCACTTGCCTTCTGATATGATATTCCGGAGCCCCTTCGCCTTTGTTGTATAATTTTTTGTGTTTGTATCACTCACCATATATGTACATTGATTCACTGCAATCATCCCCTGTTACCTATATCTCCGGTTAGTCACGAGACTCGGAGCCTGACGGTTGCGATGAGCCCGCACATGTCCGGGACTGGGAATACGTGCAGTGGCAGTGAGTTGTTGCTTGGAGCATTCAACGAGTATCATATCATTAGCTAAATGTCGTAATAATATACTTGAACGTCTCGCACGGTCGTCTAACGTCTAACCTGCGGCCGTCCCATAAGTTGGGAGATCGTACGATTAGAAGACAGCACTGCCGGACACAACGTCAGCATCCAATATCATATGCATGGAATATCAACTCACGAGATCTCCCTTTGGGGTTTGACGAGGATGGACGCGTGGTTCTTCACGCCCTCAATGCGCGGGTAGGCATTCAAGTTTTTGTGCATCGTGATCTGGAAGACGGATGCAGATCCTTGCCTGAAAAAGGGGGCATATTCATCAGAGGGCATGACAATAGTACACGACAATGCACGCTTACCGAGAAGTGATGGTCGAGTACGCCAGGAAGAAGACCCAAATCCTATACCAGCGCTCGCCGTACTTGGCAATGACCTTGTCCTTGTTTGAGATCCAGTTCTTGTACCACCGGAAGATGGTCGCCGAGTAGTGCACACCCAGCACGTCGATGTTCTTGACCTCGAATCCGGCGGCCTCGACCTGCTTGATGACCCAGCCGAGAGAGCAGCTCGCGTCGGCGCCGGGGAAGATGTATTTGTTCATGAACAGACCCCTACAAACGTGAACACGCATGAGTAATATACGGGGAAAAGGAGCGGAAGAGTTGGTTACCAGATGAGATCCTCGTATTGCCATGAGGGACGAATGCCGGCGACTTGCATGACGAAGACGCCATTGTCATCCAGGAGGTCGTACATCTGGCGAAGGAACGAGGCGTAACGGCGAATACCTACGTGCTACGACATCGGTGGACTCTCAGCACCGACACAAGACCAGAAAGACGAATTGGACCTACCTCGGCCATCTCCAAGGAGACAATCTTGGTGTAATGGCCGGGACCGCCAGGGATTTCTCTGGCATCCATGCAGAGAATTCTCGCCTTGTCGTGAGTGACGCCGGCAGCCTTGATCCTGTCATTCCCGAACTTGGTCTGGTTCTTGCCCAGCGTGATACCGGTGACGTCGCAGCCATAGTTCTTGGCAGCAAAGGCAGCCAGGGAACCCCATCCGCAACCGACATCGAGGAGGCGGTCCTCGGGCGTCAGCCCGAGCTTCTCGCATACGACGGAGATTTTGTTCGTCTGCAGTTCCTCCAGGGTCTCTTCGCGCGAGAGGTCTTGCACAATGCCAGAGGTGTAGACCATGCTCGGTCCCAAGAACCTAGATACGCGACGTTGAACTTCACGTCCTAGATAGGGACTGCTAAATGAGACTTACCATTCATAGTAATCATCACCACCTAAAGGGGTAATCAGAGTGTGACATAATATAGCAGAGCAACAGAATATCGTACGATCATAATGGCCACGGACTTGCTCCTCGTCTTGGCTGCGAGTGTGGAATATCACGTCGGGGATGAGGCCAAAGAATACGTGTTTGAACAGTTCGGGCGTAAAGACCATCTTTGCCCAGTCGTGACGCTGCTCCATGATGTCCAGGACATCGCCTAAGTACAAAACGCGTCTCAGTGCGTGCGCAAGGGCGTAGAATACTCCGGCTTACCGTTGAACTCAGCCTTCCCGTCAAAGAACGCGTCGTGGAACACCTGCATCGGGATTTTCTCCTTGCCCTTGTACTGCGCGCGCAGCTCCGGGTCCTTGAGCGTGATGTACTCCTCGATGTCCTTGCCAGGAAGCTGGACCTTCTCGTTCTTCCTCTGGCCATACATGCTCATAACGGTCCAGTACGCAATCGTAATGGGCAGACCCAGCAGCAGCACCAGGAAGAGGTACGTCTTGAAGCCACCGCGGTTGACAAGGGGAAGCGTCCGCTTTACGAACCACGGCACGCCGAGGACGAGGGCGGCGAGATGGAGGTTGTTGAAAGAGCCATTGCCCTCGGCCAACCCGACGAGCGGGGCATTTTTAATGGCGGGCGTGGTCGTAACTTTGACTGGAGTAGACATGGCCTCCAGGTAAAGCTTCCAGCAGCGCGACCCAGGATTTTAAGTTATACTGAGACCCACGTGGCTCTCGCGTGCGGAGGTTCCCGTTCTCAGAGAAAAGTCTGGTCTAGTGAAGGCTGGGACGACGGTCGTGCTTCATGGATCGTGCTGAACAGAAGCTGGCATCTGCTCACAATAAGAGCAAGAACGGTTCATCATTCAGTAGTGGCAGGAGGAATAGGCCATGAATAATGTCCCTGGAGGGCATTGAAGACGGAGACAGGAGGACAAGGTCCGCAAGTACCAGATCCCCTTTTGTATTTTGCCAGCGGGAGATAATATAAAATGGGACCTGGAGACATTACGGATATTCAAGGAACTCCAATACAACCGGTTCAGGTAACTTGGCTACTATATACGGCACACAGACTTCTTTCCGAGCTGGGAACCATCGTCGAGTATATGTCAATCACTTGCTAGCACCACTGACTTCCGTATAAAAGGCAGAGCTTGCCAGGAAATTCTAGTGTCCTAACTCTGCCCCCTCTTCCACCTTACCACCTTAGACTGAACCCGCCACTACTGAAGGAACGACTGCAACAGGTACCTTTACCACTTACTAGTACAACGCTGATGTACAGATTCTAATTGTGTGCAATCCAGTCAGCTAGATTGCAGGGATTTTGAAGTGACTTACGCTCACAATATCGGTCCGTTCTCGGGAGGGTCATGATGATATTGGGGGCTCGTCTGAATTTGAGTCTCCGCTTCCCAGACTTGTCGCGCCGAACACGTCTTTCGCCTGCGCTCACGTGCTCGCCACGACTATAGCAGCCCCTTGGAGCCAAAGTACTTCAAACTCAGGAAACCGGAGGACTTGGGACAGTATGGCCAACTACTACTCTCGCTCGCCGCCGCCACTGCAGCACCCCGTACCGACCCATCCAACGTACATTCCTGACCCGCCGTCCACCCCCGTCTCGCCTCAAGGCTATCAGCGCTATACCAGCACACCCCCGGTACCTCCACAATCCATCTACACTCAGGCAGCTTACGCGCCTCAATTCCATCCCCAAGCTCATGCCTCCCACGCTCACTCCCAGGGCCATGCCTCCCAAGCTCACCCCCAAGCCCACTTTCAGCCCGCTGGACTGCAAGGACCCGGGATTCCGGACATAGCTTCGGCATGGGG